TACGTTCTTTTGTTATTTTATGATTTATGAGAATTATATAAAATCTGATAGTTAATCTATATCTTAATTTTTTATATTCATTACACATCTTATGTAATTATGGTTTCCTTAGTTATAGTTAGATAATACTTAATTAGGAATTGAATTAAGATCAAATTAAAGTTCATATTCTCTTATAATTTCTTCAAAATCTATAAAAGTTTGGCAATTTATAATATCCAGATCCATATTTATATTATCATCTAAATGTATTAGTGTCTTATGATTTGTTATCATTCTCATTTTTCTTTTTTTCAATTTTATCTATTAGATCTTGAATATCATCCATTATTAAGATCCTAATTGGTCCTTTTATAAAATTTTTCAGATATATTGTTTTTAAAACATTTAAGGCTTCCTGAGACGCATATAATTGATTTGTATATTCTCTTTTAGTTATATTTCATTGAATTCTTTCTCTATCTTATCTTTCCTTTTTTCCTTTATAAACTTCTTAGTTTTATAAGGTCCTTTCGGGCCTCTAGGTTTTTTCATTGTATGTTTACTCATTATCGGGCAAAATTATAATAAAATTAAAATTTTTAATATTTTAAGGACTTAAAGGAAAACCTATTCATATTATGGTGACTTAGTTGTAAATTTTATGTTTGGGGGTATTTTAGGTAGTTCCAAATGTTTAGAATAGTCAAAGGCCATTTTGGAAATATTACCTTTTATTTAGGCTATTTGCATGTATTCCCAAAATTACATATGGTCAAAGACAAAATTTTCTCTTTAACAAAAATTATTACAATAATATAAAATTTCTCATTCATCCAAACCTTCAAGTATTTAAGGAAAAGTAACCTAAATTTTATTAAAAACACCGTGAATTATGCAAATATATTAAAGTACATTATCACTTAATTTGTTAGGGGAAAATTAACTTTATGTTGAGTCTTTAAAAATTAACTTCATATTACCAGACGTGTTTGTTTGAGTCTTCTATTTTATATTCTATAAATTGTTTGTATTATTGGAATCCTTGGTTAGAAGTGGGGTCTTCAAATCCCTACGTCAAGCTCATATTTAGCCCTATTTAATAGCTATTATTTGGCTAAAACAATATTTTGAATTCTGAA